AGCCACCATACAAAAGATTCTTCAAGGGATTCTGCACACAGAAAGTGAAACCCAACTTAACCATGAAAAGACAGGCAGCACCAAACCACAGGAAAAGAAAAAGCAAGACAGTAGAGAGTAACTTCAACTTAGGTACACACAATCAAACCTTCAAACAACTAAGACAACTAAATGACAGGAATCACCACATACCTATCAGTACTAACGCTTAATGTTAACGGACTTAATTCACCCATCAAAAGGCACCGCTTGACGAAATGGATTAAAAAGGAAGATCCAACAATTTGTTGCTTACAGGAGACCCATCTCACTGACAGAAATAAGCATAGGCTTAGGATGAAAGGCTGGAAGAAGATTTACCAAGCCAATGGCCCCCGAAAACAGGCAGGAGTAGCAATACTTATCTCTGACAAAGTAGACTTCAAACCTACATTGATCAAACGAGATAAAGAAGGACATTCCATACTAATAAAAGGGGAAATAGACCAAAAGGAAATAATAATTATCAACCTGTATGCACCCAATGTCAACGCACCCAATTTCATCAAACATACCCTGAAAGACCTAAAAGCATATATAAACGCCAACACAGTGGTTGTGGGAGACTTTAACACCCCATTATCATCAATAGATAGGTCATCCAAACAAAAAATCAATAAAGAAATCCAAGATCTAAAATATGCAATAGATTAAATGGACCTAGTTGATGTCTACAGAACATTTCATCCAACTTCTACACAATATACATTCTTCTCAGCAGCCCATGGAACTTTCCCCAAAATAGATCATATCCTAGGGCACAAAGCAAGTCTCAGCAAATATAAGAAAACCAGAAATTATACCGTGCATACTATCTGATCACAATGCAGTAAAAGTAGAACTCAACAACAAAAGTAAAGACAAAAAACATACAAACAGCTGGAAACTAAATAACTTGGATCATCGATGATATAAAAGAGGAAATTAAAAAGTTCCTGGAAGTCAATGCAAATGAAAACACAACCTACCGGAACCTATGGGACACAGCTAAGGCAGTCCTGAGAGGAAAGTTTATAGCCATGAGTGCATATATTAAAAAGACTGAAACATCCCAAATCAATCACCTAATGATACATCTCAAACTCCTAGAAAAACAAAAACAAGCAAATCCCAAAACAAATAGAAGGAGAGAAATAATAAAAATAAGAGCTGATCAACGAAATAGAAACCAAAAAAACCATACAAAGAATTAATGAAACAAAAAGTTGGTTCTTTGAAAAAATAAACAAGATCGATAGACCCCTGGCAAACCTGACTAAAATGAGGAGAGAAAAAACCCAAATTAGTAGAATCAGGAATGCAAAAGGGGAGATAACAACAAACACCATGGAAGTCCAGGAAGTCATCAGAGACTACTTTGAGAACCTATATTCAAATAAATTTGAAAATCTTAAAGAAATGGGACAGATTTCAGATCCAAAACTGAACCAAGAGGAAATTAAACACCTGAATAGATCTATAACATAAAATGAAATTGAAGTAGCAATCAAGAGTCTCCCCAAAAAGAAAAGTCCAGGACCTGACAAATTCTCTGCTGAATTCTATCAGACCTTTAAAGAAGAACTGATACCAACCCTCCTTAAACTGTTCCATGAAATAGAAAGGGAAGGAAAACTGCCTAACACATTTTATGAAGCCAGTATTACACTTATCCCAAAACCAGGCAAAGACACCTCCAAAAAGGAGAACTAGAGGCCAATCTCCTTAAAGAACATTGATGCAAAAATCCTCAATAAAATAATGGCAAACCGATTCAACAACACATCAAAAAGATCATTCACCACGACCAAGTAAGCTTCATCCCAGGGATGCAGGGGTGGTTCAACATACGAAAATCAATAAACGTAATAAACCACATTAACAGAAGCAAAGACAAAAACCACTTGATCATCTCAATAGATGCAGAAAAAGCCTTTGATAAGATCCAACACCATTTCATGATAAAAGCTCTAAGAAAACAAGGAATAGAAGGAAAGTACCTCAACATTATAAAAGCTATATATGACAAACCTACAGCCAACATTATACTTAACAGAGAAAAACTGAAACCATTCCCTCTAAAATCAGGAACCAGACAAGGATGCCCACTATCTCCACTCCTATTCAACATAGTACTGGAATTCCTAGCCAGAGCAATTAGGCAAGAAGAAGGAATAAAAGGAATACAAATAGGTAAAGAAACTGTCAAAATATCCCTATTTGCAGACGACATGATCCTATACCTTAAAGACCCAAAAAACTCTACTCAGAAGCTTCTAGACATCATCAATAGCTATAGCAAGGTAGCAGGATATAAAATCAACATAGAAAAATCATTAGCATTTCTATACACTAACAATGAGCAAACTGAAAAAGAATGTATGAAAACAATTCCATTTACAATAGCCTCAAAAAAAATCAAATACCTAGGTGTAAACCTAACAAAAGATGTGAAAGACCTCTACAAGGAAAACTATACACTTCTGAAGAAAGAGATTGAGGAAGACTATAGAAAGTGGAGAGATCTCCCATGCTCATGGATTGGTAGAATCAACATAGTAAAAATGTCTATACTCCCAAAAGTAATCTACATGTTTAATGCAATTCCCATCAAAATTCCAATGACATTCATTAAAGAGATTGAAAAATCTACGTGAAATTTATATGGAAACACAAGAGGCCACGAATAGCCAAGGCAATACTCAGTCAAAAGAACAATGCAGGAGGTATCACAATACCTGACTTCAAACTATATTACAAAGCAATAACAATAAAAACAGCATGGTACTGGCACAAAAACAGACATGAAGACCAGTGGAACAGAATAGAGGACCCAGATATGAAGCCACACAACTATAACCAACTTGTCTTTGACAAAGGAGCTAAAAATATACGATGGAGAAATAGCAGCCTCTTCAACAAAAACTGCTGGGAAAACTGGTTAGCAGTCTGCAAAAAACTGAAACTAGATCCATGTATATCACCCTATACCAAGATTAACTCAAAATGGATCAAGGATCTTAATATCAGACCCCAAACTCTAAAGTTGATACAGGAAAGAGTAGGAAATACTCTGGAGTTAGTAGGTATAGGTAAGAACTTTCTCAATGAAACCCCAGCAGCACAGCAACTAAGAGATAGCATAGATAAATGGGACCTCATAAAACTAAAAAGCTTCTGTTCATCAAAAGAAATGGTCTCTAAACTGAAGAGAACACCCACAGAGTGGGAGAAAATATTTGCCAGCTATACATCAGACAAAGGACTGATAACCAGAATATATAGGGAACTTAAAAAACTAAATTCTCCCAAAACTAATGAACCAATAAAGAAATGGGCAAGTGAACTAAACAGAACTTTCTCAAAAGAAGAAATTCAAATGGCCAAAAAACACATGAAAAAATGCTCACCATCTCTAGCAATAAAGGAAATGCAAATTAAAACCACACTAAGATTCCACCTCACCCCTGTTAGAATAGCCATCATTAGCAACACCACAACAACAGGTGTTGGCGAGGATGCGGGGAAAAAGGAACCCTCTTACACTGTTGGTGGGAATGTAAACTAGTACAACCACTCTGGAAAAAAATTTGGAGGCTACTTAAAAAGCTAACATTGATCTACCATTTGATCCAGCAATACCACTCTTGGGGATATACCCAAAAGACTGTTACTCCAGAGGCACCTGCACACCCATGTTTATTGCGGCACTATTCACAATAGCCAAGTTATGGAAACAGCCAAGATGCCCCACCACTGACGAATGGATTAAGAAAATGTGGTATCTATACACAATGGAATTTTATGCAGCCATGAAGAAGAACGAAATGTTATCATTCGCTGGTAAATGGATGGAATTGGAGAACATCATTCTGAGTGAGGTTAGCCTGGCCCAAAAGACCAAAAATCGTATGTTCTCCCTCATATGTGGACATTAGATCAAGGGCAAACACAACAAGGGGATTGGACTTTGAGCACATGATAAAAGCGAGAGCACACAAGGGAGGGTGAGGATAGGTAAGACACCTAAAAAATTAGCTAGCATTTGTTGCCCTTAACGCAGAGAAACTAAAGCAGATACCTTAAAAGCAACTGAGGCCAATAGGAAAAGGGGACCATGAACTAGAGAAAAGGTTAGATCAAAAAGAATTAACCTAGAAGATAACACACACACACAGGAAATTAATGTGAGTCAACTCCCTGTATAGCTATCCTTATCTCAACCAGCAAAAACCCTTGTTCCTTCCTATTATTGCTTATACTCTCTCTACAACAAAATTAGAGATAAGGGCAAAATAGTTTCTGCTGGGTATTGAGGGGGTAGGGGGGAGAGGGAGGGGGTAGAGTGGGTGGTAAGGGAGGGGTTGGGGGAGGGGGGAGAAATGACCCAAGCCTTGTGTGTACATATGAATAAAAATAAAATGATGAAAAATACAAAAAAGGGCTAGTGGAATGGCTCAAGCTAGCAAGTAATGAGTCCCTGAGTTCAAATCCCAGTGGCACCAACAAAAAAAAAAGTAACACTTCCAACATCATCCTACGAAGTCAGTATTACCCTGATACCAAAACCAGATAGGGGAACAACAAAAAAGAAAAAACTAAGTTGGGCACCAGTGGCTCATGCCTGTAATCTTAGCTACTCGAGAAGCAGAGATCAGAAGGATCATGGTTTGAAGTCAGGGCAGGCAAATAGTTGGTGAGACCCTATCTCGAAAATATCCAACACAGGAGTCTTTGTTCCCATTTCCTGTGTGGAGAATAGGAAATGTTTCTCTCTTTTTCTCCCCTACCCCTTGTCTATACTTTATCCTGCTATACTAAAATAAATTCTTACTAGAAAAAAAAATATCCAACACAAAACAGGGCTATCAGAGTGGTTCAAGTGGTAAAGTGCCTGCCTAGCAAGTGTGAGGCCCTGAGTTCAAACCCCAGTTAAAAAAAAGATCTCCCTCCTCAGACCACAGACCCTTTTATTGCCTTACCTTAGTGTTTTCATACTTCTCGGAGGAGGGATGATAAGGTGGAAAGGACCAGCTATACGGAGAGTCATCACTATGATTGGAAGATATACCTTGAAGAAGGGAAAACCAAAAAGCTGTTAAATAAAACATGAAGGGTTTTTCAATGCCCCACTCTCCAAAATTAAAACTTTGTATATAACTGTTAAAGTGGAATCTCTCTTCTTTGGTTCCCAGTTTCCTAATCTATAAAAGCAGGAGCTCAGGCCAGATGATGAGATATTTCCAGGAAGGCCAACTTTCTAGGTTGCCATTTGAGTAATGAGTATCTGAATTCTCAGTTCCTAAGCCTTAAGCATCTGTGCTAGGTCTGTAGAAAGGACTCCTCACAAGGAAGATCAGCCAGCCTGGTAGAGCAATGAAGCTCCTTAGAGTCCAAGCTGGAGACTTTCACTCACCCTAAGGAGGCAGCAGAGGCAACACAATGAGGCTCAGTGCCAATCATGTATTAGATGAGTGAGCCAGGACTCAAACCCGTATTTTCAGACTCCAAGATTAAGTGCTCAGTTGTGAAGTAGAAACCTACCCCAAAGCTTAGTAGATTACAATCTAGCTGGGAAGACAAAATAACAGCAGATAAAACCAAAGAAAGACTGTCAACTGTCAATAGTGCAAAAGTATGCTAATAAAAATGTTAATAAACAGAGTACCAAAGTGGCTTGTAAACAGGGGATCCCTAAGACCTGACATGGGTCAGGTAAGGGTTGGCAGGGAGAGCGTTTAGGGGTGAGGCCTGAGAAGAATCTGAAAGGAAGACTATCTTTAGGGGTTATCCAGGAGGAACAGAGAGGACACTGCAGGAGAACCGAGGGAGGAAGAGTATCCCCCGCACAGTGGCATGTTGGGGCTCTTCATCCAAAAGAGATGGGACTGAAAGACAGGGGGAAGGCCCATGGACACAGTAAGCATGGTGGGAAGAGCACACAGGAGGCCAACAGACCTGGTCACATCCTGACCCTGACCCTTACCACCAGTGCAGGCTTGAGCAAGCTATTGACCTGAGTGAGCCTCAATTTCCTTCTCAGAAAATGATAATGATGACAAAAAAAAAACCCACTTTGTTTGCTATTGAGAGGATTAAATGAGAGGCCAGCACAGTAAATGGCATGTTCCTGACACTCAGTAGAGGCTACTGTCATCCTTGAGCAGGCCTAAACCTGACAGCAAAAGTTCTTGAGAACAGACCTAGTTGAAAAATGCTTCCCCAAGGATTACAGGCAAAGCTTTGTTTTCTACTTAGGACACCACTCTCAGATCTTAGTTCCCAAATCTGTCATGAGAAGGAAGTCAAACAACAGCACACAGGCCTTGTTTGGTCTCCCTAAAGTGCAATCTCTGTTTCCTCTTCTGTTCAAAACTATCACTTCCCTCCAGCTGCCCTCCAGCCACAAGGGGTGTTGTGATGTTAATACCAAACTGCAGGAAGTTCAAGTGATAATGGGCTTTGAGCTCAGCAATGATTCCTGATACATTTACCTTCAAAACAGGGCCTGGTATAGCCCAACTGAATGCTGTTGAGCCTGCCAGCATAAGCAGTGTGCAAAGCACTACTGAAACCTTTCAAGTTGTCACATTTGATGATAAATGCTACTGTCCCTATGGAGCTCTTGTTTTCAACACATCTTCATGCTCATGAACTATCCAAATTAACTGGTTGGAAGTCAAGACATCTATAGCTACAGCTTCCCAGAGAAGGTATTTAAGGCTCGAAGAGGAGAAACAATTAACCCAAAGTCAGCCACACAGCTAAGAAGTGGCAACGCTGAAACTAGAACCCAGGTGCCCATGATCCTGGTGCGCCTGCCCATCAACAGTGCACTTTGGTTCCAGAGATGTTCATGTCAATGAAAACTAAAACAACTTGGACTAAATACAGGTAAAACACCAAGGCAAAACCCCACTGAACAATGAACAGACACTAAAACAATGAAGGACAGGAATGTAAAACAGGTCATGTTAAGGGGAGGGTGATAGTGGGAGGGAGAAGGTAAATGAAGAGGGTAAAGGAGGTTGAATATGATTGAGGTACTTTCTATACATGTATGAATATGGAACACTGAAACCTGTTGTCTTTTCAAGAAGGGGAATAGGGTATAAGGGAGAATAATGGAGAGGATGACCAATCTGGGGTACATAATATGTATATATGGAAATGTCACAACATTATATGTACAACTAGCATATACTAATAAAAACTTTTTTAAAAAAATGGTATGTCAGAGTTGGGCATGATGGAGCATATCTGTGATCCCAGCACTTGGGAAGCTGAGGCAGGAGGATGGTTATATAGTATAAACTTGGTTATATAGTAAAACCCTATCCAACAGCAAAGAAGATTAAGAATGGTATGTGAGACTACTATGTTGTAATTAAAAATTACTTTTTATGAAGAGTAATATTATGGGAAGGGCAGGAAGGTAAAACAGGCCTTTTCTGGGGGTGGGACCAGTGGGAGGGGGGTGGGCATAAGGAAAGGGTGAATGAGGGTGAATATGGTGGATGTATTTTGTATCTATATATAGAAATAGAAGAATGAAACCTGTTGAAATTGTTCTAAGGGGGGAGGGGGAAGAGGGACAATGAGGGAGATGGTAAATATATAAGTGCGTATGCAAATATAACAATGTATCCCCCTGTGCAACTATCATATGCTAATAAATTTTTAAAAATAAAAAAGACTAATGTTATGGGAAAATGTTGTTTAAAATAACATTTTAACATTTATAAAATTATAAATACAACATAACCTCAAACCAGAAAAAGAATAGGCGCAAACAGGGGAAACATCTCCTTGGGATGATGACATTACAGGTGACATTCCTTTTGTTTTGTTTTTTGTTTTGGGGGTTTTTGTTTGTCGGTGGGATTTGGGGTTTGAACTCAGGGCTCTGCACTTGCAAAGCAAGTACTCTATGACTTGAGCCACACCTCCAGTCCATATTGCTCTGGTTATTTTGGAGATGGGGGTCTCCTGAACAATTTGCCTAGGTTGGCCTCAAACCAGAGTCTTCTGGATCTCAGCCTCCCAAGTAGCCAGGATTAGATTACAGGCATGAGCCAGCTATGCCCAGCCTGACTTACATTCTTTATATTTTCCTGTTTTTCCATTTTTGTCATATAATCATGTAATAGTTCTATGAATTAAAAAAAAGCTTTTATCTATGCTTCAAAATTGTCGTTTTGCTAGTAAAAACAGCCAATTTATCAGGCAGTGTTCAAGGTCAGCTTACAAGCCCTGGGTACCAGCTTATACTCCTCTTTTTGAGGCTATTCACAGAATGGGTGGCATCCCTTTCGCTGAGCAACAAGTCCACAAAGTCCAATCTGGCCACATACAAGATCCTAAAATGTGCTTACCCCAATCCCACCTTTACAGACAGGGATGCTAAAGGGCGAGGGTCATGCCCAGAGCTCAATTCACACCCAACAATGCCACCTCCCCAGCCAGTGCCCTTTCACCCAAGGAGCCAAAGGAGTCCCACAGCACTACCTTCCAAAAGGAAGCCAAACTCTGCCCTTTCTTGGCTTTTGGTGAAAACATGAAGCCAAACTGAGAAGTGGTTTTTCTAGAAAGGCAGCCATGAACAGGGAGGCATTTAGCCAACCAGAAGAGGACTCTGCAAAGCCAGCCTTAACCCAGCAGGGATTCCCACACTCAGGCAGGGAAGCAAAGAACCCAGACTTTGGGCACGAAGCAGTACCAGGGTGAAAGACTTTCCCAACCGACATGGTCATGTAGCCATTCTCCTTGAAGTACTGGGGGATAGTGGAGAAGTTTCCCGCATGCACCCTCCAATAGGAGTTGAAGTCATACAGGCGAGTAGTGTCAGGCCTCCGTCCAGTGAGGAAGGACACACGACTCGGGGCACACACTGCTTGCTGTTAGGGAGAAGCAGAGGTCAACGTCATCACAGCAAAACATGTCTGCCAGCTCTAAGGTAACCAAGCAACCTCCCCAGGTCCTCGGCAACAGCCTAGCAGCTGAGTCATGCAGATCTCAGAGCCAACCAGTAGAATGTGGGCCTCACCCAGGTGCCAGAGATTGCATCTTCCTGGCAGGAGAAGACAGCAATCAGCCCCCTCAAAACTGCAGATGCTTGTGTTCTGTGTTGGCACCCCCAAGTGCCCAGAGAGGGTGATGTTCTTGGGGGTAGCCCCAAGAGGTGCCTCAGGGAGACCAGCCACCATGTCTGGCTGGCTTGCTCTCACCCACAACTCACTAGGCAGACCTGTGGGTGGCATTCTGAGCACCAGCCAGTTTCCCTTCCTGGGAGAAAGTTGAAAAGGGTTGGCTTGAGCATGTCAGGAACAAGGCATGAACTCTATCTAAAGAAGGCCAGCCTTGAAAGCACAAGCTTCCTTGTGTGTGGACCATGGGTGTGCTTGTCTACCTTTTCCCAGACTACGCTTCCCTCTTTCAAGGAGGTGAATAGTCAGCACCACCTAACAGTAGCTGAAGGGTCCCCAACTATATATGTGCACGAGGAGGTACACACCCATGTCTACAGGTCCCGGGACATACCTGGGAAAAGGCATTCTGGAAGAGGAGGCTGTGGGATGCCAGCTGGTCGATGTTTGGGGATTTCACTAGCTTTTCCCCATAACAGCCCAGGGAGGGGCGCAGGTCATCCACGATTATGAGAAGAACGTTCAGAGTATCTGCACAGGAAGGAGGGGCTTGGTGAAGGTACCTGCAATAACAATGAAATTTCCCCTCCCTAGGGTACTGAAAGGCCCCATACTGGTCCCTGCTCCTTAACAGTCCAACCAGGACTGTGCATGAGTCCTGGGTGGGCAGTAGTAGACTTTAGCCACTGCCTCAAGCCTGGATTGGGGGGGGGGCAGGATTTCAGAGAAAGAGAAAGAAATGGAAGAATGGAGGAAAGGAAAGATGAACTCAGGAAGAAAGATGGATAAAGAGGAAGGAAGGACAGTTGGGTGAAGTAAAGATAGAGGAAGAAAATAAGGGAAAGATGAATGGAAACAGGGAAAGGAGAAGGGAAAGTTGGAGAAAGGGAGGGAAGGCAAGTGGAAGAATAGACTGATAACAGATGGAAAGAGTGAGAGAAAAAAAAGATGAACTGATACGAGGGATAAAGTGAGAAAAAAGTACGGAGGGAGAGATGGAGGGGTGGTATGATTGCTGGAGGGAGGATGGATGGAGGCATGAACAGATGAAGGAAAGTATGGAGGGTAGGAGGAGTGAAAATGAGCAGGAGGAAAGATGACTGGAAAGAAGGATGGATGGAAGAAGAAATCATAGGCGGAAGGGAGCTAGGCAAGAGTGGATGTAGGCAGGGAAGGAGAGAAGAATGGAGGGGAGCAGGAGGGAGAAGGGCCAGCAATCTGCGCAAGGGTGCAGGCGGCACCTGTGGCGGAGTTGGCCTGAGCTGCGGTTTCTAAGGCTGCGCAGACGGAGCACAGGACCAGGCTAAGCCAGAGGAGGAGCCAACCCGGCGGCGGCATTTCTGTTCCGGTGGCCGCAGAGGACAGCGATGACAGACTGCAGCGGGAAGGCTAGGCAGCAGCTGCCGCCTCCACAGCCACTGTGTTTGGAACCAAGGAAGATTGCACTCTTAAAATCGCCACCAGCCCACAGGCCCAGGCGCTGGCTGGAATGCGAGTGCGCCTGCGCCCCTCCTCTCCCCGCCCCTTTAGGGGCGTGGCCCGACAGCTTGCTTGGCCAGTATAAGCATTGGGCCAAGTGGGCGGGGCTGCAGACTGAGAGCAGAGCTGAAGCTGCAGTTTTCCAGACTTTTCAGACCAACTGACCCTGGCGCACTATCCTCTGTAGAGAGCTGCTGTTAAGAAGGCTCAGAGTACAGTTCAATGATAGAAATCATGCCTAGCATGTGTGAAGCCGTGGATTCAATCCCAGCACCGAAGAAAAAAAAAACTGTGGGAGTCTTTGTAGATTTTTTGAAGGTTTTGATCCTCAACTACTGCTCTTAACTAAGTTTCCCACCCCTTTGCCTTTGCTCTGCTATACCTTTCACTTGAAAGCCTTGCCTTTCCCTCATTGCATATAAATGTCACACTTTTCCTTGCACCCCAGTTCAGATACCATTCTCCTTCAGTGATGGTCTTTGAGATCCCCCCCATCCTCCATCTAAAAAAACACCCTTTCCTTTTCTTTTGTTCAACAAATACTTACTAAGTGCTGCAAATAAATATATACCAGGCACTGTTAGCAGTAAAGTCCCTGCCCAGTGAAGCTTAGAATTAGAAAAAATGAACATGTAAAAATGTCAGTGGGCATACTTGGTCCACAGAAAATAAAGCAGGGATTGAGGGTGCTTGTTGCTTTCTATGAGGTGGATTGGTAGAGACTATCTAGTAAATTGCTGGTTGAACAAAAATTTGAAGGAAAGAAGCATGCCCCACTAATGTCGGCAAGAAAGGTGCTCCAAGCAAGGGGAGCAGCAATTGAGAAGGTGCTTGATACTGTTAAAGGATGGCACAAATCACTGGTGCTGGTGCAGGAAAAGGAGGTAGGGAGAGGGGATAGGAAATTGGAGGAGTGAGGGTCAAACTCCTGTGGCAACAACCATTCACTGTCCACCTTGGGTTGTAAGCCAAGAAGGACACTGTGTCTCCTTCTACCAAAATGGGACCTTCTGGAAACCTGTGCCCTCCATCTCTGATTCACCCTAACCCCCAATAAGACAACCTAATACAATGTTGGACAGACTGATGACTTTTACATTCATGAATGCAGAAATAGCAGAAATAATAAGATTATTACTGGGGGCTTCCTATACGCCAGGCAACATGCTAAACTAAAGCAGTAGTTCATTTGCTCTTCATAGCAACAGTGTGCTAAATGCTACTAACATTCCCATTTTGTGGTTCTAGAAATTCAAATTCAGAAAGGCTAAATCACCCAGCCAGGAAACAGAGGACAATGGTGTCTCTCCAAGGGGGGGGGGGTGGCTGCCTCTTCAGAAGTTAGACAGAGTATGACCATCATGTGTGACCCGCTGCCATTGCTGCTACTTCCTTAGGCACCAGCACCAGGGCAGTTCACCGGAGGCTGGCAAGTATCCTGGGAAGGGCAGCCTCTGTCTGCACTCCTTAGGCCATAGAATACCAAGTCCCTCAGGGTGGGCCAGCCCCAGCCAAAGGCCTAAACCGCCAGGCCTCAGGCACCTCAGTTTATCTCATCATCCTGACACTTGCCCTGCACTAATGGCTACCCAGCACCTTGCTCTTTCCCTCCCAAAATGATGGCCTTACTAGTTTAGGAAACTGAATGTGATATCAATAAGAACTCCAGAGGATGTTTGGAAAGTGTGCTCTTTTACCTGTATTTTCTCTCTTTGTCATCCATAAAACTTTCTCATAACAATAGGTACTGCCTATGAGCCTGTGAACTAAGGTCTCGATTATATCATCCTTGTCCTTATGAAAAAGGCATTAATAAAGAAATAATAACTTAATAAACCCTATGGTTGACTAAAGAAGGAATGAGGCACAAGTCACATACAGTTCCTGCTTCTAAAAATGTCTGCAGTTCTTTGGTAGACTCATTTCAAGCTGGCACACAACAGCTTCCTAAGCACCCACCCATCCAGGTTTAAAGTGGAAGAAATAGACAAGGAATAAGAACATCTAAACGATTCCTTTTCCCTCAATCTTTTCTCTGATTATGGCCAGGGTTCAACTGAGGACAGAGACATAGCTGAGACTTAACAATCAGAGAGACTTGAAAGACAAAAATGCAGAAATGTATGGAGATGATGATACAGAAGAAATTGAAAGCTAACGCTAAGGCTTCCAGTTTAAAGAACACAAAGGAGCCCAAATTGCCTTTAGACACCCTAGCCTTGATTGATTCCCACAATCAAAAGGCCAAAACTGATACATTTTCCAAGTACCTAAACATTCATTTCAACAGACAAGAATGTGAAATGCCCTCCTAAATATCAGCTGCATTCACACAGTAGCTTCATTTCATTGAACATTTTTAAGGGAGCAGCCTTACTAAAAAATAAAATATTTAGCTAAAAGCATCAAAACGTCAGGTCTCTATAAAGATTTGTACCCCTTTATAGCTCAATGCCAAATCTCAGTAAGATTTTAATTTATACAAACAAATATTAAATAAATTTCTGAATTGATTATTGGTTCCCTTCTAGTTCAAATTAATAAGCCCAATGCATGCCCTTACTATCCCTTGTTGTGGGTTGAATTCATCAAAATGCTGACAGTAAAAAAAAAAAGAGTTAAGAATGCAAGAACTTTGTTATGCCTTTGGGAGAAACACTTATGGAAGGGAAGGGAAGGGAGGGAAGCAAGATTGGACAGAAGGATCAGTCAAATTATGATACAGGCCTTGGCTGACCCCATGGGAAATATGAAGCTAGACTAACCCTTCAGTGTTGTCCTGTGTTAGGCTAAGATGACCAAATATTTGTACATCACTTTGATAAAACATTAAGTATGGCTACCCTAGAAAGACATCTAATTTGGGCAAGGAGGCTCTCTGCAACTAAGGTGACTTTTGAAGTTTGTTTTCTCATAGTCCTTCCAGCAACTGAGGCCAAAAAAAGCTTTCATTGAAGGGAGGGGGGTGTCAAGGTGGCACATCTGTGTTCGTCACATTTTTTCCTACCTTTAAAATAATCACAAAGGAACAGAAATAGCACAATATGACAGCAAGAAAGAATGAGAGATGATGCTCAAAATCATTATTTATTAGGGAAAACGCTAGGATGGCTATAAATAATTGAAAATGACAAATGTTGGTGAAGATATGGAGAAATTGGAACTCTCATACATTGATGTTGGGAATCTAAAAGGACTCAGCTACTGTGGGAAAGTTTTGCAGTTCCTCAAAAAGTTAAACATAGCCAGGCACCAGTGGCTCACATCTATAATACTAGCTACTCAGGAGGCAGAGATCAGGAGAATCGCAGTTCAAAGCCAGCCTGGGCAAATAGTTCATGAAACCCTATCTCAAAAATACCCAACACAAAAAAGGGTTAGCAGAGTGGCCCAAGTGGTAGAGCAACTGCCTACCAAGCATGTAAACCCCATCCATCAAAATAAAATTAAGTTAAACACAGAATTACCATATGACCTAGCAATTCCACTCTTAGTATATACCCCAAAGAACTGAAAACAAGTACCCCCCAAAAAACATACATACATACATACATACATACATTCATAGCAGCACTATTAATAACAGCCAAACAGTAGAAGAATACATATGTACATCAATGGTTAAAAAAACAAATTGTGATACAGACATACAATGGAATATTATTCATCCATAAAAAGGAATGAAATGCTGATACATGCTACAACATGAATGAATTTTGAAAACATCATACTAATTGAAAGTAGCCACACATAAAAGGTCACATGTTTTATGACTACATTTATGTAAAATATTCATAATAGGTATATCTATAGAGAATACAAATTGGTAGTTTGCAGGGTCTGGGAGAGAGAGAAGGGGAGAAACTTATTAAAGGGTATAGGATTTCCTTTGGGGTGATGAAAGTATTTTGGAACTAAAAGGTGTTAGTGGTTACATAACATTGTGAATGTACTGAATGAAAAGAGAACTTCAATGGGTTAAGAAGTCTACCAAATTTCTGGAAGCCAATTCAGAGTAGACTGATCAAACTACAGCCTAGAATACCTATAAA